TTACATTCATGAAGGGAATAAGGTGGTTAGTACTACCATCTTTATCACCACTGATTCTGTGGTGTCCCGTTTTTACTTAAAATACTTTCTTTAATCGGATTCATTGTAAAGGTACCACTAACAATCAGTTCTTCATTAGACAGGACCACGAAACTGACTTTCATAAGCGTGTGAAGGAGATTATATTCCAGAACTGACGTATGTTTTACTTAGTCATTACTCCGGATAACGATAATCCTGGGACTCTATAACGTGAAAAAGCCCGAGACATTTATTTAAGTAAACAATCCTCGTGATCATCACTTCAACATTTTCCGATGGAATCGTTAAAACATATAATGACGTAATGACAATTTTAAGTAATCCACATGTATAAACTATGCTAATGTAATGAGAGTTACATTACCGTTTAAGCAGTTCAATCATACCTAAAATACATGTTGTGGACATAATGAAAATATAACTGCATCCAGGACAAGCTAGACAATGAAGGACAAATTCTATTCACGAAAACAGCACACGTTCTATTATCTACTCATGTTAATGAGTGAACTTTGTAGACAGTCGTGCACTGTTTGTACTGGGAAATTAGCTACCTCAGTAAATGGCGGACCCTCCAAGACGTGTGTGTAGAGCTGTCGCATGTTGTTGATGACGTCCACTCTACCGTCGTCTTGCAGTCTGCTGGCAATGTTCACCAAGAGCACCAGAAGACGACAGTCAGACAAAGAACTGGGCCAAGAAAACACTTCTTAGGACAAAAACGACTCTGTGGACATTTGTACTGGGTGCATCTGGATATGCTTTTAGTGTTGCCTATTTGAACTGAACAGCGGTAAGAATTTTGACGACCAATCATGATGACATTACGTTATCCAAGTGCAAGAACAGCTTCTCCACATTCACGCGTTTATTTGCACCAATGGTTTTTACATACAATTTTTCAATAATAAAATACAAGGATATCCATATTAAGGTAAATTTGGGCAATTTAACCACATAAATCTGTATATAGTATTTGTAAGTAACTGTAAATGCGATAATATTTTGTCATATTTAACGGGAGATTGGAGCAGATGCACTTGCTCAGAGATAATAGTGCTGGGACTTCGCTGTGGATCACTGGTCCATGTAAGGGGAAACTGTCAATCATCAAGTTGATATTCGGGTCCCGTACACTTTCTGCGATGTGATAGTGCTGTATGCAGGTGGTATCATCACAGTCCTGGAATAATGATCATCCGGACTTGTTCAGTGGAAAAGCCTAAGTATTCACTTAATAAAGTTCCTTAACTAAATTACCAACGAATAATCCATGATCAAATCATGTAACTTACACAACTTAATATCTTTTCACACACTTACCAGTAAATTGATGTCAACTGTATTCATCAGAATGCCATTGGACAACGATGCTGGACCTGCGCATGCTCACACTGCAAAGCTCTTTGGTTGTAATGGGATGATCAACGGATGGTAGATATCTCTAAAACAGGATAAATATGTCGAGCTATTGACATTTTTTGACCATGCATTTGATTTAATTCCTGATGCATTTTCGGACTAACTGTTTACTTCACTAAAAATACAATTATACACGTTAACGTATAAAGTCTTTCCTGTTGCTATGCGACACAGTTCATCGACATACCCAATAACTACTTCTGAAACTAATTGTTTGATCGGCAAACAGGGGCATGTGACAATGGGTGTAAGACAGGATGGACTCTGACTGATTGCACAGGTAACGGTGTTTGTTAAATTGTGTCGTTTATGGTGGTGAAATGCATCAGGAGTTTTGGTACCAATTTTAAATAATGTTGGTTCCTAGTATGGTGATCTATCCCTCAGTTGTTGGCGATCTATAGCCCGTGTTTTATATTGTAATGTCTGCTTTAATTAAAATGTTTTAGTTATCCATGCTAGTTTTATATCCATATCTGTGATACGCTAGTTATTTTACAGTCCGTCGATGACTGATTATTTACCTATTGTATTTATTGTGTGTGCCCAACATTTCTCGTCACTATATGGCTGAAATATTCCTGAGGTGACGTTAAATGTTAACTCACTCACTCACCAAATAATGTTGCTTTGACATTTATACATGTTGCAGCTTGCGAATCCCATCTATATGGTTCAGATTGTACAGAGACCTGCGCCTCCAGACACTGTAAGGGGAACTCTTCCTGTAGGTGAGGTGAGGTGAAATTGGGTTTAACGTCGTGCTTGAGAATATTTCGCTCATATGACGACGTGCATGCGTGTGTATGTGTATGTGCGGCTGCTTGTACCAGCCCAGACTGAAGCTGGTTTTATAGTGCTAGCCCACTGGAGATACCATGCCGCAGTGAAGCATGAATACCCCACTCAGACACATTATACTGACTCCGAGCCGACCAGTCCTTGCTGTACCCATTAATGCCGAGCGCCAGGCAGGGACCAACAAGTACCATATTTTAACGTCTTTTGGTATGACGCGGTCGGGGATCGAACTCCGCGACCTTCCGCCTCCGGGCGGACGCTCTAACCACTACACCACGGAGGCGGTCTGGTAGTCCATAATGCAGTTATTTTGCTGATGTTCTGTCAATACAGTGGCAATACGTTGAAAAAGAGGGTGAGGTAATACAATAAAACCCTTTGTACTTTTATGCTGTTTAGATCTGGTATGCGGAGCCATGATTTAATCTGGAGTTGCTTTACAACTGACTGTTCCACACGCCCATATGTTTCAGACCATCACTGCAGGAATCTGGATTCTATCACTACTACAACACAAATCATCCGTTGAAAGTTCAAACCAAAACATCGAGAAACGACGACGCAAGTGAGCTTGATACAATAACACATGATGATCTCAACGTTGAGGTACGTGACAGCAGCCCGTGGTGCGGAGAGAGACACGCTGCACTAACAACATCAGCAAGAAAAGAACTGGACGATGGGGTGTATATGGAAGTCCTAGAAGGAGACATATACGAGCCAGTTGAACCACGGACGTATGAATCTCTTGACAGCACATCCCGTGCCATGGCTGCGAATATAGTGATATACTGAACCGCAAAAGAAACGCAAGTTGATGTAAAATGTCAATATTTCTGAATCTATGGAACAAACAATCTTAACACTACGAAAAACAACAGACAAGTGATTGTTGAAGAAATGAGTCGTGATCTCTGGTGAAAACAACACTCAAGTTTACAGTAAAAGCATATGTTATCACTTCACCCCTCACACACCAAAAAATGTCACGAAACAGTGTGTCAATCAGTAGCGCGTGACCACCATTGGCTGCAATGCAGGCAGCACAACGACGTCTCATCGAGTCAACAAGTGTCTGAAAGAAGGCTTGGGGAATTTGATTCCATTCCCTGACCAATCTGGCTTCCAAATCTCTAAGGTTTTGAGGTTGAGCAGCTGTCTGTATCCGTCTACCAATTTCATCCAACACATGCCTCGATTGGTGCCATATCCGGGGACAGAGAGAGCCAGGGCAGTACAGCAATGTTGTTCCTCTAAGGAAGTCCACAGAGACCCGTGCAGTGTGAGGACGAGCATTGTCCTGCTGGAACGTCTGGAGCTGAGGTTGGGCCTGGAATAGCGGTACAACGTGGTTTTGAAGGACCTGGTCTCTGTAGACTACAGCAGTCACATCGTTGACGAAACACGTGTAAACGTGTTCTGTGGTGGTAGCTGAAGCCACCCCATACCATGAGACTCCCACCTCCCCAGCGGTCAGCTTCCACAACACAACAGTTGGCGTAACGTTCATTACGTCGTTCCATACACGTAATCGGCCATCGGCGTGGGACAAGTTGAATCTGACTCATCAGAAAAACAACACTTGTTGCCATTGTTGACGTCGCCAACGCTGGTGTTGTCGCGCCCACTGTAAACGATTTTGGCAGTGACGTTGCGTCAGAATCGGTCCGACGTAAGGACGGCGACATCTGATCCCTGCTGCCCTTCAGACGACGACGAACAGTGTCTGCAGAGATGTGACGTTGTGGCCCTTGAATGGTTGCAGCCGTCTGTGTTGCTCGTTGCTGTCGGTTACGCAGATGAGTAACCCGGATGTGACGATCTTGCGCTGGCGTTGTTACCCTGGGACGTCCTGAACGTGGTCGGTCTCGAACATGACCGGTTTGACGATACCTTGCGGATAGTCTTGTGATTGTTGTCACGTGACATCTGAAGTGCCTGGCCACCGCAGTTGGTGTGGATCCGGTCTGCAACATTCCAACGGCGATTCCTCGTTGCTGTTCAGTTAGACGTGGCATGTTTTCTCCGCGTTGTCACAGTCAATTTTGTGTTCTAAGGTGTTTTTTTGAATGACCTGCCTTATAAAGCTTCAAATTGGAGTGAAATGCACGCATTTTTGTGTGAAACACAAAAACTTCATGCAAAAAACACGAAAAACATGAAAATGATTGCGTTTGGGCGATATGGTCAAGAATAAGCGGCAACAACGGCAAAACCATCTTCGAATGCTTGGTTCTATAATGGTATACTTTGTTGTCCTAAAAGGAATGCATTTGGAACGTATGTTTTGAAAATAGTTACTTGCGTTTCTTTTGCAGTTCAGTATATTAATACAGTGAAGCCCCGTTAGTCCGGATCTCCGATAATCCGGAAGTCCCACCTCCCGGACGATTTCAGCTTGTTACCAATCTATGCCTATATAATTTGCCTCGATAATCCGGAAATTCGGTTTCCGGAACCGGACGGTAAGTAGCTGTCACCAATCAGTAAAATAAACAGTAAATTGCTTCACCGTCCGGACGCTGTTAAGTCGTGTTCACGAACTGTAACAACACTTCCCGGCGATGTTTACTTTAACTGGCCTCAAACAATATACACTCGGTGTCATGGAGTTGACAAGATGAACTCTTGTTAACTTTTGAGACATGCCAGTTAACGGTTGTTGTTTTAATTACACATAAAAGCTCCCGACTGAAGCTGTACATTTACAGTTTGATTGACACCTGTCAGCAAACATGGCGAGTCAACCTTCTAAAAGAAAACGAAATGAGACTACCGCATTCGAAAAGAGAGAGATTGCAAGATACAAGGAAGAACATCCAAAAGCAAGTTTAGATTTCCTAAGTAAACACTTTGGTGAATTATTTGGACATTCAGTGGGGAAATCTACAATCGGTGACATCCTGAAGTCCAAGGAAAAATGGCTTACCATTCCGGAAGATTCTGCGGCCCTGTCTCGAGCAAGAAACGCCAAACATAAGAAAATGGAGGAGGCGCTCTTTTTATGGATGAATGACATGACCAGTAAGAATGCAGCTGTTAATGACGAGATGTTGATTCTGAAAGCGAAAGACTTCGGTGACAAGTTGTCAATTAAGGATTTCGCGTATTCTCGTGGATGGCTGGCCAGGTTCAAATCTCGACACTCGATTTCGAAGCAAGTGCTCCAGGGTGAAGCAGCCAGTGCCGACAAGACTGCAGTCATCGCGGGGAGGGAGGAACTGAAGAAAGTTTTAAGCGAGTACGACGCCGAAGCTATTTTCAACATTGATGAAACAGGACTTTTTTACAGATTAGGACCGAATTACACCCTAGCAACTAAAGCCACGCCTGGTGTGAAACGGTCAAAGGACAGAATAACTGTGGCATTGTGTGCAAATGCAAGCGGAACTGTAAAAGTAAAGCCATTTGTGATCGCTAAGGCAAGAAGACCGAGGTGTTTCGGACGTGATTTTAACCCAGAAGTCTATGTGAGATATCGACACAATACAAAGGCGTGGATGACAAGTGAGCTGTTTTGTGATTGGTTGTTGTACTTTGACAGACAGATGCGGTCACGTGTGATTTTGCTTCTCGACAACGCTGCAAGTCACAAGTGTGCTTCACTAACTTTGCGAAATGTGACCTTGCATTTTTTGCCACCAAACACAACGTCACATATTCAACCGATGGATGCAGGGATAATTCGGACATTTAAAGCATACTACAAAGAGATCGCTTGTGAGACATTACATCACCTGTGCCGAGGGAGGGCGTGACCAGAAACTGACTGTGAGACAGGCACTTCTCTTTGTGAAAACTAGCTGGGACGAAGTTAGTGCGCAAATTAGCAACTGTTACAGACATGTGGACATTATTTCTGAAGGTGATTCTTCTTCTGTGAATGAAGATGACATTGCATTGTCGGAGCTGAGACTTCTCCTTAATGAGTATCCTTCATCGGATGTTGTGAGCGCGCGAAGAATATGTCGCCGAAGAAGACAGAGTGAGTCAACATGCGAGCCGCTCACGGACAGCACGCAATCATTGACATTGTCCAACCAACTGACGATTGTGAAGAAGAAGAGGAGGAAAGTGATCCAGCCCCCATTCCACCAAGTTGTACAGAGGCAGAGAAATACTTGGAAAGTCTGGTGACATATTTTGAGACAATCGCCTTGTCTAAAATGATATTTTGTATCCTATGATTGTACATGGGCCGATGGCCTACTTACAGAAAATAAATTCATTCTATATACACGATGTAACCCCAATGTTATGGTATAATGATAATCTTGATAATCTACATCATGGATAAAAACTGAAAATATAAGTCAAGTCTACAAGCTCTGGCCACCAGAAAAAGCAATTCGCCTGAATTCATAAAATCCAAGCACATGTACACATTCAGTTACATAGCAATTCGTTCGTTCAAGTGAATGCCTCTCACCTCAAGGGAAGATTCATTTTACCAAGTATGTATGCTCATCAATATATATATATAAAACAGTTCATTATATTTTTCAAACAGGTATCATCATCCATAACACCATTCGTGACCAACTCGTGTTATTCTGGGACAAGCCGAATAGCGACTCGTGCCCCTCTGGAAGGATTTCATATTGGCGCATGAACATGAACTACTTTAAACAAGAACGATAACTCTATCCCTGTTTGATTCCAATGTTTCTAAAATCACCGAAGCACATGTGCATTGTATTGCTAGGTTTGTTTTTTTTTCACTTATTTATTTTAAAAGAATTAAACCTCTTTGATACAACTAAAGATGGAGAAAACATATTTGTTAAAAGACATATTCTAATGTAATTATTACCAGCTGTTCACCTTATATTTCCAATTATGGTAATTAATAGGGTTCTTAATAGGGTTTAATCATCACAGATGGGAATTGTTTTATTGAGTATACAAATAAAATAAACAAACTTCAGCTACATTAAATCCCAAAGCAGATACTCAAAAAAATGACTTTAAAATATTTCTCAAACTGAACATTCGTGTAACCCTGCTGCTGTCACACCCTGGTGTCTAGTCAGACTAAAATATCCCCAGAGATATGAAATATAAGCCCAATGTTAAAGATTAAGGTTGATTAGTTACATACAAATACGATATTATTGTTTTGAAACTGGTAGCGATTATAATTACATTTCCTAAAATTGATCGAAGAGCACGTACAATTTCCATAACAAGCCCGCAAGATCGTCAGAAATACACTCAGTCGGACCTTATGAGAGCAGCTATGTCCAACAAACTCACGTGCGTGTATTTAAATCTGTCACCGTAACTCGCATGATTCTTATGAAAAAACTTCATAATAGGCAGCAAAATCCTTTTAGCTATGTATTTGTACTTTCAATATGACGATATATATTTTTCATGATTTTTTTAAACAATGACATAATGCCATAAACGATTTAAAGTACTCGGGATTATTTTTCAAAACCACCGCGCTCATTTACGCGCGTTCTGATTAGGTTTGTCGTATTTTCGCACATAACAAGTATCGAGTGGGGGACGAGCCTTCTTTGAGGTTACGGAAGGGGCGAGTGGTAACGAAAATGCCATAACACGTATCGCCATGTTGTATTTGCACTGGGGTTAAGCTCCAAAATAGACTGTTTCTAAACATAATGTAATTGAACGTTTTAAGATTGATTTGCGAGGTTATCTGGACGACATAAGATTGGATATGAACATATACTAGTATATATTCTCTCTCTCCCCTCTGTGTATTATTATTATGTGTGTGTGTTAATCAATAAGGAATACGCAGCATTTCGAAAAGTACACGTATAATCTCCAAATCATCATCATCATCGTCATCAGATTCCATGTACATAAGAAATCTTCGCCCAAAGTTGAGTCAACTGCACTATTACATCACGATCATGCGCACACGTATCGCCATCAACAACATACCTGTTACTGGGTTAATGTAGAAAGTAGTAATGTAGTGTAGATAAGGTCACTTCCTGATAAAATGCAAATGCACCCCTGTATTATCATATACATATAGTTGCAGTAAACGATTGTATTGTATGTAGTATGCTGAAGCATTGATAACACATTTCACTAGAGGAAGCTATGGTGCATGTCTGATTATGATTTATCACAACCTCCTTTACCAATGGACATGTTACTTGCGATGTTTTCCATTGTTATTATTGCAGACTTTACTATATATAACATACTGTTTCAAACTCTATCCTTCCTCTCATGTCTTAGTTGGCTGACCTCCATCTCTGGGTATTTATGTAATTTTGTAAAACGTCTGTCTCTGCTATTTTCACAATAAAATGATGGTGCCTCAATAACTATCGATTATAGTTTTCAATATGTCTACACTAAAATGATTTCATGATGTTCAGCGACATTGCAGCTTTAACTAAAGTCTTTGCTTAAACAGTGTTTACCAGACAGGATCTGGGGCATCAATCCGTACATGGAACATCGTTAAAATGCGTGTCATTGCTGTTTGTCAAGTTGGCAAATAGGATTTGAACTCTTTCTGCATCTTCGTCTAATAAAATATATTATCGTTTAATACTTATGATTTAGTATGAGAAGTGGTAATACTGTATGTTTGCATTTGCAAGACATTATGGACACCTTCGTAATAGAGATACTTGTCTATGCATGAAAAGATTCAGTGCGGTAGATTAGCACATTTAGAGATATTACTTATACGTCATGTTTAAATTGCCCAAGCGTCTAAATATTGTTTTAATCTCCTGTCCCCTTCTCGTTTCAGAAGTAATAAGGATATCATAAGACATCAGCTGAAAGCTGTGTCAAAGTATACAAAAACTGAATTCATGTAACAATAAACTGTCTATATATACTGTATATATTCTCGTGTGAAAAGGGTGTTCCTCTTTCTCAACAATCCAACAATAATACTAAATCTCGAGGTATTACGACAATTTGTCCAACTGAACAGCGGGTGCTACAGAAGAGTTGGGTTGACATTGGACGGGTAGACTAGTCATCTGATGTGCCGCTAATGTCTCTACAGTGAGTAAGTTTAGTTTTACACCGCTTTTAGCAACATTCCAGTAATATCACAGAAGGGGACACCAGAAATGGGCTTCACACATTTTACCGATGCGAGGAATCGAACCCGGGTGTTCGGTGTGAGGAGCGAACGCTTTAACTACTGGGCTACCCCACCCCTCCATGTCTGATGTGCCGCTAATGACTCTATAGAGTTATATGACTCATTATATGACTCCCTGATTCCGCCCTAGTTATGAATATTGGATTCTCAACTGCATTCCAGTACACACCTCCATCCCAACTAAATGCCAAAGGTCTGCTTTACTTTCAGTACTGCGTCAAAGTTAACAGAAATATCATTCCTCATTTGATGCGGTTTATATTGAGTACAATGTCCATATGCGACAAATATGTTAGGTTATTATTCACGTTTTTAAATGCCTCTGAATCATATGGAACACAAAAGTGGAAAGTTTCTGAAATGAATACAATTTACATGTGCACACCTTTTATAGGTACATGCATGTGTTTGCAAAGAAGAGTTGTAAACACATGTTTTAAAAGCCTTATCGATCGCTCCAGCTCACTGACGGGCGTTGTTAATCTTTCCCTATTAAGCTGATGTCAGTAGGAAAGTTTGTAGTAACACATTTGTGAATAGCCTATAGAGATGAACCATGGACCTTTCACAACTTCCCAGAAGTACACAAAGGCGGGTGTGCTGATGGCCTACTTTCAAAGTGTTAGTTTTGGTCTGCATGTAACGTGTATGTTTTATGCGGTGTCAAATTATACAATGACAATAACCATCTTTGAAATTCAGTAAGATAATCACATTGTGATTGTCCAAAGTACACCTACAGCAATCCGATAACGTACTGAAATAGCGTATGCCTTCATAATGCAATATACTAAATAGAGGTGTGACTAAGCAGAAATTTCACGATACGATACGTATCGCGATATCTTGGATGCGATTCGATGCATATCACGATATGCTTTTTAGTTTTTCTTATAAAAAACAACATATTTTAAGAGCAAGAAACTTTGACTTAACCGTCAATATCGAATGAAAATTAACAATTTGAGGGTCAACGATACATATCACGATACGAAAGCCCGTATCGATATATTTATCGATAGATAAAGTATCACGATTATCGATACTACGATATATCGTCACAGCTCTATTACTGACATAAGTAGTTTTACTGATCACGAAGAAGTATCTGTGTATTCTTCCCGATAACCTTCATCCCTGTATGTGTTTTTCTGCAGCTCTACCTTGTCCGATTACGTTGGTTAAATCACCGGAATTCTCACGGTAGAACGTTCATGGAGCTCGTAACGGAGTTGTTGTGGGTATGTGACTGCGGTGTGACTCTAACTGGTTTGGGGAGGTCCGTTTGCTTAATGTCGTTCTTTA